CCTAGCCGTATAAGAGGCTTGAGCGGTTTCCGCCCAAGTTGGAGGACTCCACAACCATCTGGAGGAGGAGGACTTCACGTTTCGTGAAGAACTCTAAGCACTGTGGAGCCTAACGGACCCAGCGTGTACCTTAAGAAGGCTATAGGGGTCTGATCAACCTCTGGCCTCTCCCCATCGCCGAGCAATCCCTCGACGAACCCCTTCCCTGTGCGCAAGTTCCACGGAGCCTAGCAAACTTCGTGTGAGTGTATCCAGAGCTCTTCTCCGAGTTGTTTTCTTTGGTTGACATGACGGTGACGGGCTCGTGTTTTTAGAGCCTTCAGCCGGATTGGGCTAGAGTTCGCGAGTTTAGAACTCTTGTCCGCTCTTCTTTCCTGTCTGTAACTGCAACTCAAGCAAGTTTTCCTGCCTGCACCGCGACCATCTATGGTGTAAGTAAAATAATCTTTAATCAACCGCTACACGTCTGTGCCTAATTCTAGTCCGCCGGCCTGCATTCCCCGACCCGCGTGCCAGGGCTGCTGGCCACAGCCCGCCGCGTGCCCCCGTGGGCCTCGGACTGCTCCCGGCCCGCACAAAACCAAGATGTATAAATATGGAAAGAACTAATGTTTGCGGCTGCTCCCCAGTTTGTTGAAGCTCACCTGAAGCTGCCTCCATTTTTAATAAAGCTGCTGGAAGAAGCAATGCATGCACCGACCCGTTGTCTCCCCAGTCGTTAGGCGTCGCATGGAGCCAGGGTCTAACAGACATGTCACCCACATCCTGGACTGAGCAGTAGCTGGTATCTCCCCCTCATCTATGCTATAAAATAAACAATCATTCGTTTAAAAAGGAAAGAATTGAATGCCTAACTACCAGAGAGAGTATCAGGTTGCAAATCCAAGTCTCAGAGAAAGGTAAGTTTTAAGGCACATCCCATCTTTTGCATTTCATGCTGATTAGCTTTGGTGGTTGTTGGCTTTCTGGCTTCTGTGATAATTGTGATGTATTTAACTCTCCCCATTTTGGTGAACGTGGACACCTTTGCTCTTGGTTGTAGATTCAACTACATTAGCAATGTGCCTCGAAGTTATACATCTTAGTCCTTTCGTGGACTTAGCCTTAACTGTTTAAAATACTGCATTTTGGAATTCATTTATTTTTATTTGTCTACATCAAAAACTGCTGCACAGTTCAATACAATGGACTGTCTATGCCTAGGGAAGAAATGGGATTCAGATGGATTAGCTTGGTTGTTCCAGCTCAAAATTGAGGTAAATTGCCAGCAATATGTGGTAAAATTGCTCAGTGCCTACTTCTTCTATTCCTGATTCTAGCAAGTATTATGAGTTCTGTACTTTCACAAGCTTTAGATTTACAAAAAAGAAATGCAAAGTGACTTGGATCTCAGCTGCATATGATTTTCTAATTTATATATTCCACATACATGGTAGCCAATAAAATTCAGATGAGTAGGTTGTTTCTTGGCTATAAGCCGGTGCTATAGATATTGCAATAACTGAAATGTCGAAATCAACATCACAGGCTTCCTTGCATAATTTTAAAATAGAAATATGTAACCGATAATTTGATAAGCTACTCCCAAAAGAAATCTCTTTGAGATAAACATTAAAAGTACTCAGTTTATGCACCTACAGAGTGGCAAATGAATAGTATTTCCAAGCACCTGTTTCTTTATACTCTTTGGTCCCAAATCTCCACTATTCCATTTGAAGCAGTGGTAAGATGGACCCAAAGGTAGCCAGTTGTAGTGCTTACATCATCTAACAAAAGTTATAACTACTTACTTTCTGCCAGCCAGATGTACCTTTAGTTAGGGTTACCATAATAATTTTAAGGAAATGTGGGATGGGGTAAGGAAATCTGGGATGGGAGTGCAAGGAGGCAAAGAGGGCAGCACCAGCACATTGCACATGCAGCCCAAACCCTGCGGCTCCCAGAAGCAAGGGTAGGCAGAACAGCATGGTGCACGCACACGTGCACATATAGCACCACCAGCCCATGTTGTATGGCCACAGAGCATGCCCCGCTACCTCCAGCAGCTGGCCAGGGTGCAGTTCCAGGGCAGAGCTCAGATCCCAGAGTTACTCCCTCAAACACACTCCCTCAAACACAGCAGCAAGGCATGCGAGAGGTGGGGCAGAGACCTCTGCTCCCCTCAGGGCAGTGATCAAAGCCATTCCCCCCACCACCACCACCCCAGAATCCCTGTTCTCACCTGGGCCCTGGGCAGCAGTGCTGGCTGCTCCCTCATCCTGACTACAGTAGGCCATGAGCCAGGACTCATTTTCCCATTAGTCAGTCAGGAGCCAGGCACATTCAAGCAGGTTCTCACCAGTCCAGTTTTTGCTTCAATTTTCTCCAGGAAGCCTAGAAGTCCCAACTCTGGGCTGCAAGCAGAGTTGCTTGCTCAGTGGAGTCAGTCAGAAGCCAGGCATATGAGGTGGGTTCCTGCTAATCTGGGACTTTTGCTTCAATTTTCTTCAGTGGCTGGGACACTGAGACAGCCTATATAAAATCTGGAACTGTCCTAGCCAATCCAGGATGTGTGGTCGCCCTATCTTTAGTGGATAATCAGGCACTCAGAAGCTTGACTTTGCAAGACCCCTTTCCTTTTGCTCCTCAAAGATGTCCTTTCCTTCTCTTTATACTACAGGGGTGGGTGGGGAAATCTAGCTTTACAGTAGAAGAGATTTCAAATAAACAGAGATAATTTTCCCTCAGTTATCTCCAACCAGACTAAATGAACTTGGTGGACTAGAGAATCTGGCCTTTTCTGCTGTTTATTCCAGCATTCCTTTTCTTTCCCTGCCAAGTAACAGGTAAATGACAAATAAATCTTCAAATATTCAATTTTGAAAATAAAGCATTTAAATGCTAGGCAGAAGTGTAGGGGGTGATGAATGCTATGTCTGAATATTCCTGTGCGTTGATGAAAAATCATAGGATGAACCCAGTGCAACAGAGATAGTAGCAAAGGAGAGAGTGTTGCAAAGCTAGCCAGTTATTTTGAAATAAAGAATTTCACTCTGCTGTGACTGCAGTGAGAAGTCTAATGTAATGAGTAACACTCCACCTGCACTGAAGACATTTAAAATGCAAGCTTTACTTAAGTACAAAAAATAGAAAGAAATAATCACTAATGGTAGAATTACGTGTAATAGTAGCTGGTTGGTCTGTTTATTGTTTTGAATTGTTTGAGATCTCAAAGATACCTGCATTAAAAGTCCTTGCCACCTTGCCAGACCAAAAAAGTGGGTAAACCCCTGCAGTAATCCATCAGATGCAATTCTTTTTTCTAGAATCAGATGCAGTGCTTATTATAGCTAGATCTTTTTTATAATCTGGAGTATATATTCCTTTGGAAATTTCCTGCTGCACCCTTCACTTTCTGTTAACAGTTCCATTAAAGGTAATGCAATTGGACATAAGCATATATTACTCTCTTCATCATAGCCCAATGCATAATTATTGAAATGGACAAATTAAGCCATTCCCCTCCTCCCCCAGGAAAAATACATGTTCAGTTTCTGCACAGTGCTCAGATAAAAATATCCTGCCTATGAACTTTTGAAATATTAGCCCTTGAAGTGAGTGCTGTATGATTAAGGGCCCAACTTTAGTCCCTTGCATACACTGATGAACACCTTCCTGTACACCAAGAATCTGAGTGAAGTCATTAGGACTACCTGTGGGGTAAGGTTGACACTCACTGTAAGGGCATGGCTGCCTGGCCCTTGATTTGTGCATTGGCTCAGGAGACAGCATTTAAGTTAGCTGGGAGACAGAAGAAAACGAGGCAGTCAGGTAAACAGACCTGGGGAAAATGTTACACCTGAGTGAATCTGCTAATGCAGCCAGAGCTTAGTGTGTTAGAGATGAATTGAAGCAGTGTTTGAAAAGCTTGCTACTGGTAACAGAAATCAAGCAACTTCAATTAGACTTGCCCCAAGGAAATGTCTGAAGCTGCAATATGAGTACAAATGGCACTGCATTCAGCAAATATAGAATCTGTCTGTTTCAGAATCTGAACATCTACTTTGCACAGACAATAGGCCTACTAGCATATCAAGTGGAACAAATTAAAACTGTCAACATCACGGCAACTGTATTAAATTGGTAACTTAGCATAACCCTAAAGCAGAATAGAAATGAGATGTTCTGATAATGTTTAAAAAAGTTCAGGAAGTAGTCAGCAACATGGCTTGGCAGGCAACAAAGTTATGCTATAGCAGAGGCCTTTTATACATCCTTGACTTGTAAAATGTGAAACATTCTCAGAAGCGTGTATAGCTCACACACAAATGTCCAACAATAGCATCACCCAAGTAAAACAAATAATTATCACACAATAGTTTGGAAAGGGATGATCCTGCCTCAGGTAGGGGGTTGGACTAGATGACTTCTGGAGGTCCCTTCCAGTCCGTGATCCTATGACTCAATTTCTGCCTAATCCACTGTTCTAATGTAACTTCTAAAAAACATAGGTTTGGTGACTAGGACAACTTTGGCCAACATTCTGACAGATAGAATAGAATCAAAATGTGATCTTTTCTCAGCTGCAATGAATTTAAGTTGATCAAATGAAGGTCCTGTAACAGCCATTTCTACCATCTTCATAATGGTGTTATCTGGAAGAAAAAATACTTATTTGATGTATACCCACATTCAGATACGACCTGAGCAGAGTGCGGGGCCTGGGGTAAATCAGCCTGTGCGAGGCCCCGCCTGCAGACATGAGGAAGCCGGTGGCAGATTCGGCGACGGGGGGTTGCCGAATGGCTGGACATGAAGCCCGCAACAATGTGGAGTCACCACAGCTGCTTCGCCCAGCTCCATGGGGCCCACCAAAGCACAGGGCCTGGGGCAGCTGCCCCGATTCACACCCCCACCCCCCATTCATGAAAAATAAGCCCCCATCCCTGTCTGTAGACACCCATTGGAAATTTTAAATATAAAAAATACAAATTTCATCATCATATCTATAAGCCAACCCAGATTTAAAAAATGACTGAGGTATGATGCTGAACACTGCAAAACCTAACTTGATACCTGGTCCCCAGAACAGAATCCTCAGCCCTGAGGATAACTCCCAGTACAATGCACAGGGAGAGTTAGGTATCTCAGAATGGACTACCCAAGAACCAGAATACTAAGCAAGCAGACACATAAGATAGTGAATGATGAGGGTTTTCTAGGACAGGTACTTCCCATTCAGGCTTCACAGCCAAAACTTTATTGTGAAGGTAGGTACCTGAGCTTTTCCTTTCCAAGACTAAGCAAGAGGTCACACAGCATGGCTGAAGAAGGTAGTGATGACACCCCAAGTAGAACATTAGATTAATGGGAGAGTATTCACCATAGATGTTGAAGACCTAGGTTCAGCCTTTTGATAATGTATATCAGAACAAGTATACCAGAAAAGATATGCAGAGGAATGCACAGCTTCTAGAACCCAGTGGACTTCAGTTCAAGCTGGGCACTGAGCTGCTGACAAGACTGGGATGCTTCAGGATAAACATAAAGGCAGAACGTCAGGCACTGAAGCAGCTATAATGTAAAAAACTGATGTACCTCCAGGGCTAGACACCAACGGGCTAGAGAACAGCTGATCTGGAACTTTGATTATAATTATGTTTAAATCACCCTTTAGAAACCTCAGTCCTTATTTTGGATCTGGGTTGTAGTGAATAGCTTTAAGATCTCCATCAGAGCCATCTCATTTCCTCACAGGGAACACAGAGGTCTTGAAATGTGCGCTATTAGAGATGCACCAGAAAAATGTTCTAATATGTTGTTGCATGAATTTCATAGCTGTCATTCATTTCTTATTGATTGGTCCAAAATACATTAAAACCGCACTGGGTATGTCATTTTTGTGGGGCTCCAACTCCTTCCTGCCTTTCAGTCTTTTGGGAATTTTATATTTTCTTGTTCCCCTTTGTCCTCTCTCCCCACATCAGTGACTGTCTTGAGGAAGCCCCTTGCTTATGCTATAGTGGTGAGGACTTTGTAATGGACTGTCACAGACTAGCTGACAGTGATAAGGAAAGGAGAGTGTAAGAAAGCTAGGCATTGCTTTTTATATGCTGGATATAATCACTGGGGAGCTACAGCTCACCAAAACCCCATTAGCTTTACAACTGTGACTTAAACTGCATGGATTTTATTGCCCAGATGAACAGTAGCTGTTCCCTGCTAGGTCTGTCCTACTTTCACAAGATTCAGTTGTTACCTCAGAACATCTACTTGACGGTGTCCCCAGGTGAAGATGTAGCTGTCCGCTTTCTCACTAGATTAATTTCTGCTAGTTTGTCTGTAACAATTATCTGCAGATGATAAAACCCAAAGTTAAGATCTTGAAATATATTCAGAAAGCTGCAAAGTCTACAAGGCTCTGACCAAAAGCCTCTGTAATATAACAGATAATACTTATCGCCAAAAAGCAGGCAGCAGAGCAGGCAGTCAGCTTTCACATGCACTAATATGATCACACTGTGAAAACTGAAGAGAGGATGCTGTTGCACTGATGGATAATTTTGCCAATAACATTGCTTTTCAGTTACCATATTTTCCCAGATGAATAGTCCTTTGATACTGCTAAAAGGGTTTGCTTGGATCTGAGCTTTACAATTAAAACAAAATTAGTGTCCATGCTGTTAGGATAAAGTAGAAAATAACACAGAAACAAATGCAAATCAAGGAAGAATTTATTTGGCTCAGATTGTCCCCACGTTCAAAATGATTTGCAATATCACTGGTGCAAAGCAGCCTCAAAGTTAGTGCCACCAGCAACAGAAAAATCACCCTAGGGTAACACGATCTTCTAATTATTTAGAAAAAAATATAGCTATTCCTGAGTCAGCCTTATCCCTCTGGCTAGCATAAGGTATCTGGAGGACAGGAAGACTGGTAGGGACTTCACTGAGCCATGGCATTACTAAGCTGCCATAATGGTCACTTGAGGCCACTTAGAGCCACTTAGAACAGTGCTTAGGACACTGTAGCTTATGCCAGGGGTCTGGCTTGGTAAACAGTTGGCCCAGGATCATGCTGGGCCTTTCCAAAGTAGTTCAAAACATCTGTGCATCTCCCCCAATTCATGTGTGCCCTGGGGCTTCAGTCAAGAATCGAAGTCATTAACTCTGAAATCATTTAACTTATGTTTATATTATGATGCTTGCTGGTTACACGCTGGGTGTGCATTTGTTCCCAAGTTACCAAAATGAAATAAAAATCACAATGCAAGAAGCTACTGGTAAATGAGATGAATTTCATAAGAATTCAGGGGATAGCAGCAATGCCTCTGATATCTTTCTAAGGAATGGGTTTGAATAGCGCAGTGGAGGTAGCTGGTAAATGTTATGATTTGAGTATTTATATTTCTAGCATTTTTTAGAGAATTCTTCCATGTTTTAAGTCACAGATGAGGCAGCATGTTCAAAAAGAAATGCACTGGCCAAAATATGAATAAATATTCATAAGTCCATATTTAGGCATCTCAGTAAGAAGCCTAATTTAAAGAGTGGATAGCCTTCTGCCTGGAATGCAGCAGCAGACTTTTCTTCATCATGTTCTAATAGAGAATTTATGTTTCTCCCTTGTTTTGTTTTTACCCTCTTTTAAATGAGCATTACTTTCTTAAAGTATCAGGAAACTATTTTAGACTTTAGTAATTTTTTATTTGCCAATGATACTCACCCATGACAAATTATTCACCTCTGTGCTGGTCAGTAAAATCTTAGGCATCACTTAAATCCTACTTAACCTCCCTAGACAGTAGACTTGAAAGGTGTATAAACTTTGGCTCAGGGGGTGAATTTTGCCCAGAGCAATCTTTAGTTCTAGAAAGGGATGATGGAAATGTATTCATTTACAAAGAATGAAAACAGAAGACTTTTATGACACATTTCTAAAGTCAAGATATTTTCTATAGAAACTTGATAATTATGCTAATTAGTACAAAGTAATTTCTTTTACTGCAGTACCAATAAATGCTGAAAGATTAAAAAGGGCAGCATATTTGGCTACATGAAGAGGCTTATTTATGAGTTTATGTCCTAAAGATAGCAGTATGTCATTAAAGTTGTACATCATATTATTGTTTTGTCTGTATGTTGAAGTAAGTAAACTGTTATGAGAATATGATCTGGAAGGCTTCATGAAAAGATAAGCTTATTGTTGTGCCCAAAAATCATCTCTTATATGAAGAGCATTGTTAGGGGTTTTTTCCTGATAAGCCTCAGTCTTGACACAAGTTTAATTACAGGCAGAACAAAAATTCAGCTCAAATTGTTTATATATCATTAACCATCAACAAAATAGCTTTGAATTTATTCTGTTGTGCTACCCTATCACTGACTTTGAGGTTGCATTTAAACTCCTTGCAGCCCAATCCAGCCATAGCTATGAGTCAGCATCTCATGATTTGGATCAGTGACAGCCAAACTTTGGCAAGCCTGACTCTAATTAACTCAGTCCTTGCCCCAAATGCCACTTTGATCCCTTCCTCTGCCCAATCTGCTGCTCTGTTTTCTGCTTTGTGCCCTGTGCTCACTGCCTGACCTGTTCATGTGCTGTATCTGCTGCTGTGCTGTCTGTCCTTTCCGTGATTTGTGGCACTTGTGCTACAGGTTGGACACCTCTGATCTGGAATCTGGGATTGAAAGCACACTTAACAAATTTAGAGATGACACCAGTTGGGTGGAACTGCAGACACTGAAGGGTAGGGCCATTCAGAATGACCTTGATAAACTGAAGAAGTGGTCCAAAATCAATCAGATGAAATCCACCAAGGACAAGTGCAAAGTCTTGCACTTAAAATGGAATAATACAGACTGGGGGAAAACTGGCTAGGCTGTAGTACTGCAGAAATTAATTTTGGTGTTACAAAGGACAATAAGCTGAACATAAGCCAATAGTGTTCTCTTGTTGCAAAGAAGGCCTACAGCATAAGGGGCTTTATTAACAGGAGTGCCCCTTAAAAATACATGGACATGATCCTTCTGTTGTATACAGTATTGATGAGGCCACAACTGAAGAACTGTGTCCAGTTTTCAGCTCTGTACTTCAGTAAAGGTGTTTACAGTCTAGCAAAACCCCCAGTTTTTCTTTCTTTTTTAAATTTTAAAATGCATTCCCTCCCTTCCCCAACTATTTCTGACTTTTTCTCTCCCTCTCTATTCCCTATAGATAAGTATGAGTAAGCTAAGACATAGAGTGAGCTAAGACATGGGATAAGCTTTAGCATTTTTGTAGCAAGTTGTTTTTGCTTCTCTCTCTCCTTCTTGTATCCACTGTTTTACATTGTATAATTATTATGTTTATGTTGATGTTTACTGTTTTATATTGTATTATATTATGTTCCTAATATTTTTGTATTAATTTTTACTGTTTTATATTGAATTTATATGATTTAGGGCTATGTCTGTAAAGTAATGTCAAGTAATGTCAAGTTTCCATTTTGTATGTCAAGCTTCCATCTTGTGTCCCCTGCCTTATACAATATGTTGCAACTGTGACTAATGCCTACCCCTCCTATGTAAATTGGTTCCTGAATTGGTTCAGATACCTGAAACTGCATGTCCTAGTTTGGAGTGCACATGCTCAGTACACCAGGGCTGACCCTTGCCTGGGCATGCCTCCTGTCACTAGGGTCATAGAAGGTCTGCCCCTATAAAAAGGGGCAGTGAAGACAGACCCAGTGGAACTCCCTCTCCATCTGGACCAGCACCATGCCACACCACCTATCCATTCAGAGGCCTTGTCAGCAATCTCCCTCTGGACAACACCTTGTTGGAGAAGACCTTGACTGGCCATCAAGGATCAACTCACAGCCCAGGATAGGTAGCTATCACCCCTACCCTCTCTTCAACCAAGGACCTGGACTCTGTTTCTCTTCCCTACCTGGACTCCAGCCCTTCCACTGAGTCTCTTTCTCCTGCTATCACTGTGTGAGTGTGTGTAGAAACCAAGCTGTACAGTACAGTGTTAATTTAATAAAACCATTATTTGGACCCCTGAGTTGGGTTTTGCTTTACTATGGTTCCAGCCCTGCTCCAATCTCTGCTCCTCGCCTCTCTAACTTCTGTCTCATTTCTCTCTCTCCTGCTTCTGGTTCACTACCACCTCCAACCCCTGTCCCATGCTCCTGTGGCTCCAGCCATCCTGAGCTCCTCTCTGCCTACAAACCAGTTTCTTTGCTATTGCCTCATCCCCACTGCCTTTTCCCTGATCTCTGTCGCTTGCTCTTCAGTTACCAAGCACCCCAAGCATAGGTACAACAGGCACCAACACACACACACTGTCACCTGAGTCAGTGTTTAACCTGTGTGCATGTGTGTATGTATGTGTGTATTGTGTACGATTTCATGCCATTATCATTAGGGTGTGTATGTGCTTGAATCGGTGATAAGTGTGCATGTGCTTAGACTGGTAATCTTGGATATGCATGTGCGCCTAGTATGTGTGTATACACCCAGTGTGTGTATATGCCTAGTGTGTGTGTATGCGCCTAATCGATTTTTGTATGTATATGTGCAATTGTGTCACAACCTTCCATCTAACAACACAATTTTGAGATCCTGAGAGCTGGCCTGGCTCCACAGGACAAAAACAGATTAGAAAGAGTCCAGTAGAGAGCACCAAAGATAATTTGAAGCCAAAGATAACTAGAGGAGAAAAATCACTATGGTACCCAGAGTTGGTTTCTGTGAGAGTCTGAAGTCAGGAAGAAAGTAAGGTAGGGTATACCTTAGAGACTAATTAGTTCAGAGAGGCATGAGCTTTCATAGGCAAAAATCTACCTCATCAGGCAACTGCCTACTTTGGCATAGCATCTGACCATAGGACATGGCACAGATGTGGACATCCTATATATGAGGTCTGAAATGCATAAGATTTTTCTCAATTAGTTTGCTTAGCAGTGAGTGCATCTAAATGTTCCCTTTAATGCGTATTAGCCTATTTTAATGCACATTAAAGCATCACAAAAGTGCTCTTTAGAATAGCTCTTTATCACATTAAAATAGGATAATACACATTTTTCCAGTACCTCACAATGGATAGTGCCTGTACATGATCCAAGAGCCTGCTCTGATGTGTTGTAATTACACAGCAGACTTGATTAATGGAGTCTGCTGAAGCATGGTAATTACCATGCTCCAGCAACCTCCTGCATGTCATGTATCAGAGTCCCTGCACATCAAAATGGTAGTGGGGGTGCTTGAACTAAAGCTAATAAGCTTTAGTTCAGGTGCCCCCATTGCCATTTTGAAGCACAGGGATGCCGATACACAAGACGCTGCAGCGCTTTAATTGGAGTAACTCT